CACTGGCTTCCCTCTGGCACCCGGGACCCGGGCTTCCCTTATAGCCCCAGCTTTGTCCAGATCATCCAGAAGGATGTCTGGTCTAATTAGCATATTACATTTATATTATTATGGATAATGGAATCTAGAACAAGTTCCCAAATATCTCTTAGTCTCTTTACCTATAGAATTGAAAATTAGATGAAGTGAACTCCTTAGTGTCCTCCAGCTTTCAATATCATATACATTTATGAGTTCCTAGACTTTCAAGCATTTGGTTCTAAACACCATCTGCTTCTGCATTTCTGCATAATGCATACTGTGTTTACATCAAAATAACATAAAACAGTTTCTATTTCCATGAGTTGTTTCCTTGAAACTGTCCGACTTAGTTTGAAATATGAAAAATGAAATGGAGTCACATCACTAAAGCACAGAAGTTACTTCCTCAAACACTGTCTGTGTATTTCTCAAGAGTTAATATCATTGGTCTAAGAATCTATTAGAAGAAAATACTCACTAATTAAAGATTTTCTGAGGAATACTTTCCTTATGAAGGCTTTATAAAATCCCTTATAAAATTCTTTTAAAAGGATTACATTTTAGGCTGTTTAATGGTGGTACTAGCCCTTGTGCATGTTTGGGTTGGGGGATCAATTAAACACTAGTCTCTGACGTGTTTACTTTTGCATTTTTCTAATTGTAAAATTTGGAAATATAGAGTGGAGGGTAGAAGTGGAAGAACCTGGTCTAAATCCATTTTTCATTATTGTTATTAATAAAATAGTGTAGGGCAGTCAGAAGAGCCCTCAGTTCTTTTCTTGGTGAAAGCCCATGATGAATCAACCTCTCTGTGTCTCAGTTTGCTGAACTTCAGAATCACTGGGTTTAGAGCAAATTAATATCTCAGGTTGCTTCCAGACCTGTGAATTAACCCAAAAAGTACAGAAACCTGGAAAGAAGTCACTTCAAAATGCAATAGCAAGTTTTAAATCATATCCTTATCCTGAAACAAAGATCAGTTCTTAGGCTGAAGGTGACAGCCCCAGGAAATTAAGAAAAAAAATTGAAGTCTATTTTTAATAAGGCTACAATACCAGTGAAAGCTTTACAATTCTAAAACTGACACACACTGGGTAACTGATACCCAAGCTTCACCACTGAAGCTACAAGGCTGTTTTGATGTATTTTCTCCACTGGCAGTGAAGAGATGAAGAGGAAAGCAAACTGGAACGGAATCAGGACACCGAGGGCAGCACACAGGCTGAACTTTAAAAATGTCAGAGATGAATTTGAGAGAGGAAAATAGAAAATGTAGAATTCAGTCAGTCCATAAATGTATTACCTGTGTGATAGAATGTTTTTAATAACGAGATCATCTCCCAGGATATGGTAACACACTTGTGTTCTTTCCAACCATTCTCAAAGATGTACTGATAAACGTGCATGGATCTGCCTGTCAGTCTCTGTCTTTCCAAAAGAAATAATAATAATCTTTGGCCTCATATGTCCAATTTTAATGTGAAATCAGTGTTTAAGTTTTCCTTTCTGACCATTTTCCCTCCAGCACGATTAGGTTGCTCATGTCCCGATTCTATATTCCCAGGTGCTATTTACCACCTCCCTTTGTATCCAACATCACGCATCCATATGTCAATGCACACCCTAGAATTGAAGCAGAGTGGGAGTCTGGTAGGATGACTGTATATGAAAAGTTAATTTTTAATCAGTGTTTTTACAGCCAGAATTCTGTGGCATTTTTAAAGTCTCCTCTCAAAAAGGAGAAATGATTTGAAGAAATACTAATCACTCCACCCCCTCCTCTGTAGAAAATATTCCACAGAAAAAGGAACTTGGAAAGAATGGGAAGTTCTCCCTGAATATATAGATAGGTTTTAAGTTGGGGAGTAGCATTAGCAAGAAGAAAGGCAGAGGAAGTCCAAGTGCCACTGATTTTTCCTATGTCCCTGGAGAGAAGATTGCTGACTTGGAATCACTCTGGCTGCCCAAGACCGTCTGACATGAAGACATAACTCCGAGGTATGATTCCCTGGGCCAGCAGGTGGACCCTAGGGCTAGTATCTGAACAGACCATCTAGGCTTCCTCCAGAACAGCTTCTTGCGATTCGCATGCCCTCCCCACCACAAGCAGAGGGGGTTGGTTCTTCCTGAAAGCCATTTGTGCCAAAGCTAGCCCTCACAATAGCAAGCCCTCACAATGACTATAAATCTGATGATACCTTAGAATTCAGCAGAGAAGCTTTGGGGAGGAAGGAAAAAAATGTGCCACATTAAAAGGGCAAAATGAGGCTCTTGCTAACCTTAATATAACAAGTTGAGTAAAACAATAGGTAAAAAGTCTTTGAGTGCTGAATATGTGCCATGAAGGGAGCTATGTGATTCATATGCATTATCTCATTTAGTTCTTATAAAAACTCATTGTGGTTTAGAAGGTAAAGAGGCTCAGAGTTAAGAATCCAAGGTCGCAGAGTTGATAAGTGGTAGAGGTAGGATTGAAACCCAGTTCTGTGGGATGTCAGAGCCCTAGCTCTGTCCACAAATTTATACTCAAGTACTTAAAAACCACTTTAGAAGATGTTTAAGTATGATGAAATCTCCTGGATATGTGCAATAATAAATGAAATCTCCTAGGATAATTTATATGATATTTACAACCACTACCAACATTTATTTTGTTCAAATTTTACATTACTTTCAGATGTCCTTCTAGAGTTCAGCAACACGTTTTTTAAAATCTTCCTTATAATTCAGAAGTTTTCTCAAACACACATACACAGAGACCACACACACATACACACACCAGACATACAAACACCACCTGAACACACACTATCCAGAAAAATCAAACACCACATAGAGACCATACACAAATACAACATAGATGCACAAACCTCACACACACACAGCTCCACACATACTCCGTGTGGATCCAAAATACATCACAGAGACACACACACAGAGTAAATAGCCACATACATACACACAAACACACTGCAGGTATACAGACCACAAATACTCACATGCCCTACATACAGAGTCAGAAATTCTTCATGGGATCTTGTTTCTCCTTGTCTGCTATACCCTAACTTATGTCCAGTTTCCACCATATGTATCATCTCATTTATATCTTACCTTCTGCTACTGGCCTCTTCTCTCCATCCACTCCATCCCAAACAGCTCTTTTTCTTCCACTCTCCAGAGCAATCACCAACATCAGACAGTTGTAACTAATGAGAAGGGACATTATACCATATCCAAGTATAGCAAATTGATTAACATTGAGTATTAGACACCCCTCATTTTAAAGCCCCTGTGTAATTTCTGCACCTCTGAATATCTCACTGACCCTTGTGCTCTGCAGCCTCCTGACCTCCTGCTGTGTTTTTCCTGTTCTCTCCCCTCTGAAGACCATCCTCACTCCTCCACCCTCTTCTCATGGTCCCAGGACCTTCGCTGGTTCCCACTCTTGCACTCACCATTGCTGTTCCATTCCAGGTCCTTAGTTTTCACATTTTATTTCCCAAGTGCATTACCAGGCTATTTTCTTGAAAAATAAAATCATTTTTCTACTTCGGAGAAAAACTTTGCAACTCCCTTAGATGGCAGAATTAAGTTAACACAGTTGTGGTTTTAATAACAATTACTTTTATTTCTTCTCTCTTAGAATTTATTTTGCTTATAAAAAAAATCACTAGTAATTTCAATTGACTTATACAATTTATCAAAAAACAATTTGATAATATGATTTTGTTATAACAGGTATTTTCTCAAATATTCGCAGATTTGTATTTTCAATACCATAGGAACCATTATTCAAGAAATGGGGTATTTTAAATAATCAAATATTCTGATTCATAGTGCATTATCAAAACACTAGGCATGAAATAACTAAGTAGCACAAAACACTAGTAGGATTCCCAACCTGCCACAATGGAAGATTGGTAAGAGATAGTAATTAATAAGAAATTTAACCCTTTTAAGCCTCACTTTCGCCTCTGTTTAAATATTTGTCTTTGTGGAAGAAAAAAAAAATAAGTGATTTTCATAAAATGCTCCTGGCATATAATAAGTATTGAATAAATATCAGTGCCTTGACTGCTCCTAAGAACCACTACTGTATTCTATAACACACTTTCTTATTTCACTGATGATTCTGAAGACTCTTCATAATCTTATAGTGCTCTAGGGCTCCCATATGAATATCAGTTCTTACTGTTGTGTGCTCAGTGTTAGAATACTAGATAATAGCATTTTTTATATACTAGAGGTCCAATGCATGAAATTTGTGCATGGGTAGGGTCCGTAGGCCTGGCTGGTGATCAGGACCTATGAGGGCCTTCTGGCTGCCAGCCAGGGCTTTCCTTGCCCAGCCGCCAGCTGCCAGTTGGGGCCTTCCTTCATTCCATACCGCCCCCTGGTGGTCAGCACACGTCATAGCAAGCAATGAAATTCCTGGTCTCCCAGTCGAACTCTTGAGAGGACAATTTGCATATTAGGCATTTATATAGAGAGATTATTAGCTCATGGGAGAAAACTAATTGTAGCTCTCCATGATTACTAATTTGCAGCATTTTTGTTATTCAACTTCCTTAGCAACATTTGCCCTGACCAAGTCTTAATCAAGTAAAACTGATTCTATGTTGCCTTATTCAAGATGTGCTCATCAGGAAGGATCAAAGTTCTTGTTAATGTCTAAACAGAAGATTTTTAGCTACCTAAATGAATTACTTAGCAAAGTCAAAATATCCATTTCACATTAATTTCATATCATTTGTAGTATTTTTATTTTTGATGCTCAAATTAATTTGATCTTAATTCTTCATACAAAACAAAGTAAAGGCTTCAGGAAAAAATATCTGATTTGTGTTATTGAAGAAATATTATGTTTGCCATTTAAAACATATTGTTAACTTGTCTGTTGATAGTTTAATTTCTATATTTAATATTTTCTTTTGCTTCTTTTTTGTTCTCATTTTCAGTTTCTTACCCCGTCAGTAATTATGGATCTGATCAACTCTTCTGATTACCAGGTCACTGTCTCTACATTAGTAAGAAATGGCACTCACTTCCCAGCTCCTGCCACAAAAACTTTCATTGTCCTTTCTTTGTTATTTGCATCGATAATTGGCATTATCAGCAATGCTCTCTATCTGTGGGTACTGAAATTCAAGATGAAAAGGACTGTCAATACTCTTTTATATTTTCATCTCATTCTCTCATATTTTATTGCAACATTAATTGTGCCATTTATAACCATCTCCTACCTTTGGGACAATCACTGGATCTTTGGAACTGCCATGTGCAAGGTCTTCAACAGCATTTTATACATGGGAATATTCGCCTCCAGTTTCTTCCTCTCAGCCATCAGTGTTGACCGTTACCTTTTCACTCTTCACCCCGTGTGGTCACAGCTGCACCGAACCCCACGCTGGGCTTCCAGCATAATCCTGGTAGTCTGGATCTCTGCCATTGTCCTAGGCACGCCCTATTTGGTTTTCAGGGAGACATATGATGACCATGAAGGAAGGGTGACCTGCCAGAATAGCTATGAGGTGTCCACTGACTGGGAAAGCGAAAAGACGCAAACATTTAAAAAATGGATTCATGTGGGATGTTTCACCAGCCGCTTCTTGCTAGGCTTCCTTCTGCCTTTCTTGATCATCACCTTTTGCTACGGAAGAATAGCCAACAATATGAAAAAGAGGGGTCTGTTTAAATCCAACAAGCCTTTCAAAGTCATGATGACTGCCATCATCTCTTTCTTTGTGTGTTGGATGCCCTACTATGTGTATCAGGGCTTACTTCTCACTAAGATCCAACCTCTACTTTTACAGTTGGCTCTGTTACTTGCAGTAATTACCACTTCTTTCAATGCTGTCTTTTCTCCCCTACTCTACCTGTTTATAGGGGAGAACTTCAAAAAGGTTTTCAAGAAATCCATTCTTGCTCTGTTTGAGTCAACGTTCAGTGAGGATTATTCTCCAGAAAGAACACAAAACCTAAATTCGGAAACCTACATTTAAATTCAGAGTCCCATGAACTCTTAGTTAATTACACAACCAGAGATATATTCTCTACTCCTGTACAATTATAGCTCGATATTAAAGAGACATCTAGGCTGTATTGTTATTAAATTGTGACGATTAAAAGAGCTATAAGAAAGTAAGCAATAGGTCATGTGCTGGATGTAATTTTCCCCTTCCATATTGTGGTAAAATATTGTCCCTTGAACAATATGGATTTGGACTTTCACAGTAACATTTTCTTTTCTCTAGCTCATTTTATTGTATGAATACAGTATATAGAGGATTGGAGGGCTTGGGTAAAAATAGTGATGGAATTAAAACATACAAATTGGTAGTCACAAAATAGTCATAGGGATATAAAGTACAGCCAGGGAATATAGTCAGTAATATTATAACAATTATGTGTACAGTGCCAGGTAGATACTTGAAATATTGAGGGGACCTCTTTGTAAAGTATGTGATTGTCTAACCATTATGCTGTACACCTGAAACTAATACAAAATAATATTGAATATAAACTGTAATTTAAAAATTAAAAATTTTTAAATGAATACATTTTATAATACATATAACATACAAATATGTATTAATCAACCTAATGATACTGGTGAGGTTTCCAGTCAACAGTAGGCTATTCCTAGTTATGTTTTTAGGGAGTCAAAAGTTATACGTTTTTGACTGTGTGAAGGGTGGGAGTCCCTTATACCATATTGTTCAAAGGTCCACTGTATAACCCAAAATTTGTCATTTTCACCATTTCAAGTATAAATTTCAGTGGCATTAACTACATTCACAATGTTTACAACCATCATCACTATTTCCAGAATTTTTTATCACCCCAAAGAAAAACCCTATGCCCATTAGCAATAATTCCTCATTCTTTCCAACCCCCAAACCCTTTCATAACCTCCAATCTATTATATGTCTCTATAAATTTACCTATTCTAGATATTCTATATAAGTTCAGTCATACAATATTTCTCCTTTGTGTGTGGTTCATTTTATTTAGCATAATGTTTTCAAGGTTCATCCATGTTGTAATATGTATCAAAATTTCATTCTCTTTATGGTTATGTAATATTCCATTGTATGTAAATACGATGTTTTGTTAATCCATTCTTCTCTTAAGGAACATTAAGTTGTTCCCACCTTTTGACTATTGTAAAGAATGCTACTATGAACATTGCCCTACTGTTTCAGTCCTTGTTTTCAATTATTTTGAATTATTTTTAATTTCTGGGTCATTTCTTAATTCTGTTCAACTTTTTGAGTTCTCACCAAATGTTTCTAGAGAAGCTGTACTATGTTACATTAATACCAGCCATGTTCAAGAGTTCCAGTTTTTTCACGTTATTTTCATATTACATTTTATTATTGCTGTAGTGTTATTCTTCACTTACTATTTTCCTTTTATAATTTATAGCCATTCTGGTCAGTGTGAGGGGGTGCACCTGTGAGTCTTGGCCTCTGACTTTTAGGGCTATAGGAATATCAATTTCTAAATATCAATAGTTTTAATTGATCTGAATTCTCTATCAGAGAATCTTCTATAACTAGACTTTTGGGCAGGATGCCTCGAGCAAGCCCTTCCGAACCACGCAAACCATGAGAGCCACAAGCCCCACCCCACCGCCACGAGCGGCTCACAGGCCTGCGGGAGAGACCGAGAGGTGCTCCATGCACCTCCTGGGGACTGGTGGTTTGGTCATTCCGGCGTTCCAGCGTTATGGCCACTGGCTTTTTATAATATAGATATGAACAAAAGTTAACATGGATATGACAAGGCACTCAGCTTGTCATATCCATGTTAAAATTTATTCTTTAATGTTTAAGTATAAAGAAATCTTAAGTGTCTCTTTTTAATACCTAGAGATTGAGCTTTCTCAGAAATATGGGGTTAAGACAATTACAAATGTTTAAGAATCCACCTGGGTAATGTCATAGTATATTTAATTTTAGAACAGCAATGATAATATTAATTTGTCTTCTCTGGTATTCAAATTTTGCTTTAAGCTTTTGCAACACATTACAGCACCTCAGTTATCTAGGACCATGTACTATCACTGACCTATTATTACTTTTAGTTACTCAGTTCCATAGGACAATAGATAGCAACAAAGAGATATTTCAATTGATACAGAATAAATATTTAGGCCATAATGCATGCTCAGTCCCTAAATATTCCAGCTAACTTAGCACAAACCATTCCAAACCACAGGTACGTATCGTATTCTGAAATCCCCAAAAAGGAGGGTACTATTTAAGAATGGGTTATAGAAAGGAAGGTAAATTAACCTCATTACTAGCTCTTTACAGAGGGGAAAGTGATAGTTTGAAGCCCTAGGAATCCTGCTAATTGTCCCGGTATCACGGCTGCCTGACAACTGGGGGCTTGGGTCTCTCACTTTAAACATGAGGGACCAAAAGCTGTGAGCAAATGAAGACTTTCATTGTTGGCCCCTATTTCAGGCTTTGGGAGCCTGAACAGTTTCCCAGAGCGGGAGGAGGAAGATTGATGACCAGGCTGTGGCTCTGAGTGCTCCTTCCCTCCCCACTCTCTCCCGTGTCCTGACAAGCCCGCGGCGTTTATGATGCAGGATGAAGAAGAAAGTTACTGGAAAGGACACAGGATGTTTTTTGAAACAAGATTGTGCTTTGGAAACCCAGCAACTACAGGGAGAGCCTTTTGTGTCCCTCAGACCTGCTGTGATAACAAAGACGTGCTATTTCAAGGTTCTCTCGTACACGGTCCTTTCTTCCCTATCTCTATGAATCATAAAGTTTCTAAGAACAGAAAAAAGCCTACCAGTCACAGTTTTTCTTTCCTATAATATTATATGCAATTGACATCCAGTAAAAGCTAGGTAATGAAAGTTGACAATGGGTAATCACATTATGTGACTTGGAAAACGACTTTAGGTTAAAATGATAGGATTAGAAAGGTTTACATCACATCTACCTTGTACCCCAGGCATGATTCTAAGTGCTTTACAAATTGTTACTCACTTAATCCTACAGCAATTCTACAAAGTAGGTCATATTATTATCCCTATTTTACAAACTATGAAACCAAAGCACTTACCCAAGGAAATACAGGAAGCAATTGGAAGATACAGTATTATGCAATAGGCAGGCTGGTGCTAAACTATTATACTCTGTGTCTGAGGCCACTGCTGGGAGGCAGTGAGACTTGGCTGTCAGCCCAGATCTACCTAGTCTGTTTATTTCATCAGAAGTCACCTTCTTGGATGCAAAAAAAAATCAAACAGAAGTGCCTAGAAAATGTCAAGATCCACTTACAAAGTAAAATGTTGATTTGGTTTAATAAGTCTGGAGTAGGACTGAGATTCTGCATTTCTGACAGTTTCCCAGAGGATCCCTTGCTGCTGGTACAGAGCTAGAAAAGAGTATGATTGAAGTTTAGGTGCAAGAAAACAGGCAGAGCCAACATGAGCAGGAAAGTCAGCCAGCCCTATATTTCAGAAAACCCTACTAAGAAGTTTGGACTTGATCCTAGACTCTATCCTGAGGGCATTAGGAAGCCACTGAAGGCTTAAACTTGCATTTTAGAAAGATCTCTCTGTCTGCTGTCATGGAGAGGTCAAAACGGGAGATGAGTGGACAAACTGGATGGTTTTGCAGTCATCCAGTTAACAGGTGATGTGGCCTGAACCAGGAAAGTAGAAGTGGGGATGGAGAAAAGTAGTCTTGTCCTATAATTCTGTTGGTTCAGAAGTAGAGGAAGAGGGGAAAGTTTAGGGGGGGCTCCTGTATCAATTAGAAGTCATAGCCTGAGCTTGTTTGGCTCAGCGGTTAGAGCGTCAGCCTGAGGAGTGAAGGGCCCCACGTTCTATTCTGGTCAAGGGCACGACTCCAGGCTCAATTCCCAGCCCTGGTTGAAGTGTGTATGGGAGGCAACCAATCAATGTGTCTCTCTCACATCAATGTTTCTCTTTTTGTCTCTCCCCCTCCCTTCCACTCTCTCTAAAAATCAATGAAAAAAAGGATGAGGATTAACAAAACAAACAAACAAACAAACAAAAAAAAAAAAAAAAAAAGGAAGAAGAATATGTCTTGGTTGTAAAAAGATTTCATTCTGGCTGGTTTAACCAAAAACTGATTTATTAACGGATGTTAAGTAGTTCACAGAATCATTAGGACGGCTGGACAAGCATTCAGGGCTCCCAGGAACAGTGCCCAAGACATGCCTCAAAACTTTCTAGGTCAGGAGTCTATGGCTGGTATTCTCTGTCTTAATAAATGGTAGCAACTGCTGTTGCTGAACCAAAATACCAGCAATTTGGTTTATGCAGCTGCACGGCCAGCCAATGCTACTTCCGCATCAGGTCTTGAACCCTCCTGTGCCTGGAAGCTCTGCCAACACCAACATCAGGGGAGTGGGAGCTCGTTTATTCACTTTGCTCATTTAATCTTGCGTGAGGGTATCTCACCGGCAAGCTGGAATCTTAGCTGCACAGAAGGCTGGGAAGCCTAGTTCCGACTTCTAAATGGGAGGAAACAGGATACTCACAATGTGGGAATTTCCCCAAATGGAAAAGCTCTTCAGAAGATGACATTGTCCATTGAATTTAACCAAGCTTTCCAGAGTAATTAGCTTCTGGAAGAGAAGCAAAATTTCATTGTGTGAGAAGTGACTGGGAGGTGAGAATCTAAGGGCTCTGAAAGCAGCAAGAATTTTAAATTTAGAGAATTCAGGAGAAATTCCCCCTCCTTCTTTCCACAAAAAAAAAAAAAAAAAGTAAATCTCACATCTTCTACCAATTAGAGATTAATTTGTGTTAAGGGGCTGCTATTAAAATGCAAATATACCTTTTAAGATGGTTAAGTTTCATTCACAAGTTATTGGGAATTACTTTAATCAGCTTCACACCCAGCAGAGTGCAGCTAAACACAGTGCTTAGGACTTTACTTCAGATTGTGGCCTAGAGGGAGGAAACCCTCTGAGTTGGAGGTCAG